TGTATTACGGTGTTGATTTGTTAAAGTAACAATTACAATTTTTTGTTGTTTGAGGCGTAAACTTGATGACATCAAAGTAAGACAGAAGACAGATTGCCTGAAAACTTGTCCCCAAAAACCCGACGCTCTGAAATTATAATCGACGTTCGAGTTCTTATCTCTCGCCTAAACATATATACTCTACGTTACTTTAGTCCGATGAAGTCCTAGAGCAATGCACTCCAACCTTTTTGCGCCATGAACCCGAGTCATGCGAGACAATTTCCCCACGCAACAGGGAGAGGAGATCAGTGTCGCTCGTGCGCATAATAAACCACAATAAACAAAACAACGATAGTCAATAAAACGTAAAAAAAATGGGTTTTCTTCTTTCCTGGGGCCTGGTACCAAATGGTTCATTGCCCGATACCAAATGGTCCATAGCTCGGTACCAAATGGTCCATTGGCCGGTAACAAATGGATCCCGGCTCCGTACCAAATAGTCCACAACTCGGTACCAAATGGTCCACAACTCGGTACCAAATGGTCCACTGCCCGGTAACAAATGGATCCCGGCTACGTACCAAATGGTTCGCAACTCGGTACCAAATGGTCCACAACTCGGTACCAAATGGTTCATTGGCCGGTAATAAATGGATCCCGGCTCTGTACCAAATGTTCCACAGCTCGGTATCAAACGGTTCATTGGCCGGTAACAAATGGATACCGGCTCCGTACCAAATGGTTCACAGCCAGGTACCAGATGGTTCATTGGCCGGTAACAAATGGATCCCGGCTCCGTACCAACTGGTCCATAGCTCGGTAACAAATGGTCCACTGGCCGGTAACAAATGGATCCTGGCTCCGTACCAAATGGTCTATAGCTCGGTACCAAATGGTCCACTCCCCAGTAACAAATGGATCCTGGCTCCGTTACAAATGATCCACAGCTCGGTACAAAATGGTTTACGGTCCGATACCAGATGGTCCAGAGCCTCTTACTAAATGGAGCATGGTCAATTATCAAATGGCCCACAGCCCGGTATCAGATGGTCCACGGACCCTTAACAAATGGTCCTCGGCACGGTACAAGATGGTACAATTCCCGGTACCAAATGGTCCACGACGAGGTAACAAATGTTGTACGTCCCGGTAACAAATGCCCCACAGACCCTTACCAAATGATCCACGGCTCAGTACCAGATTGTCCACGGCCCGCTGGTTGGTGACGCTTTACTTTGAATTTTTTCACTTTGTCACTTATTTACCTAACATTGATCTGCTGTAGAGAAAGATATATTCTACTATATATAATAGTTTTATGGAAAATTCACCGTCGACTATTTATTTTTATCGGAAATTAACTTCATTCCTTTATTAATTGATGACAAGTTTATTTTAACGCCCCCAAAATGAAACTTTTAATCATGATGCGTTAAATATTGTCAAATTTGGTTAGGCGTTTTGCTGTACATTTACAGATTCTTGATAAAATAATAATAAAAAAGAATCTGCAATGTTATTGGTTCACACCTGGCAACTCGGCATCTGTGTCTTTCCCATTCGCGTAACATAGTTTCGATCTTCCTTTTCTAGATATATTTTCATGGTAATTTTTCTCATTAGCTTTCATCTTTGACACCTAGACTTTTTAATTTAAGGACATTATTAGGTTGGTAGCAACCTCTAATTATTTTATAGTTGAAATAGTTAGATGCAACCGTAAGTTCTAAGCTAACAATTCCTTCTCTCGCACTTATCGCTTGTGGATCTAGCCTGTAGCTTCTTGCTTCCCAGTCAACGTAGATCTTCCAAAAATTAAATGCAATGTCAATTGTGATCTTCTGTTTTCTTAATGCCTCTATTTTTATTTTACTTTCTCTTCAATAATCTTTATTTTGTTATCATATTCTTTCAAACGCTTGCAACATAGTGGCTTTCTTTACTTGCATGGGGTGAAATGATTACAAAAATGTTTTAGAGAACCTTTTTTTTTTCCATTCCATCATCCTTGAACCTTCCCAGACTCAAATTTTGCACTCCAATTAAGTGGAACGCTTTTATAGAATCATCATATATGGTCTGGCGCCCCTTCTGTTTGCCTCGGGGTTCTTGATAGGCTCTAGAGGCGGATATGCAATATGGTTGGCCCTGCCCTGGTGTCTCGTCTACAGTCACTTTCGCACAGACGCGCCGTCGCCTCCCTCTGTCTGTTCTACAAATACTTTCATGGAAATTGCTCCGAGGAGCTGCATTCGCTGGTTCCCAGACGTCATGAGTTCCAGCGCCCTACGAGGCTGGCATCCCGCTCTCACTCCTTCAATGTCGAAACCCCTAAATGTAGCCGTCTCTTCTACTCTAATAGCTTCATGTCTCGCACCTCTCGCCTGTGGAACTCCCTTCCCTTCTCCTGTTTCCCTGTGAGCTATAATCTCCAGCTATTCAAATGTAATGTTAATCGACATCTCCAGTTACCTTGATCTATCCACTATCCCTCTCCTCATCCTTTCTTCTATCACTCCTATCTGCTCTTGCTCCAAATCTTCTGCAACCCCCTGCATCCTAGTGGCTTCCCGCCTTGCTTGGGGTGAAACGCTTAAAAAAAAAAAAAAAAAAAAAATCTGCTGCTGGGAAAGTTGGTTCACTACATTATGCTAGACATTTTTTTCTAGCCAGAAATCTATCTTGAATGTTCATACGCCTGCCATTCATCCTTGCATTGTATATAGTTGCCGCATCTTGTCTAGTATTGATGCTATGTATTGAGAGGTTCTTGACAAAATCCGAAGAAGAATATGCAATATTATCGGTCCTGAAATGGCACCTCGGCTCCTGTTGATTAACCCACCATCACAACGTACCTTTTCTGTGTCTCTTCTATAAATATATTAACGGTAAATGTTCTGAGCCTTTCTTTTTGGTGTCTGGAATTGGGAATTTGAGCGCAGTACTTAATGGGCAACCAGGTCTCACCATATTCCTACCGAATTTGCTAGCCGTAACCGATGTGCGTTGTGGAGTAAAGGATATCGGCTCATCATAAGAACTTGGAGAGCCGAATTCGAATTCCAGTTGAATTCGTTAGATTCACTTACGCACAAATAGCCTTGGGAATGGTATGAATCCATATCTTCTCCCTCCAGATATGGGTTGAATAGCAGGACAGACTGGGTTCCATAGCCTTGGTTGGCAACCGATTCAACGCAGAAAGACATGGCAACCTATTGCTGGAAAAATCTTCTGCCTCGTCAGTCATGTATCAAAAGACACATGATTGCCCAAGCGTGTATCACGTGTGGGCGCTTAACCGACCGAACCGTAAGTTCTATTCTAATGGCTTCTTCTTTTACACTTCTCGTTTGTGAAATTCTCTTCCGGTTTCTCTCTTTCCTGTCAACAAAGACCTTTGAAAATTTAAAGATAACTCTTCTCTCACCTTGAATTCATGTTCTTTTTATTGTTCTTTTCTCCTCAGTAACATTTTCTCAGTTTATTTCCTTGCGTTTTAGTGACTTTATCTCCTTGTTTGAGGTGAAATGATTAAAAACAAAAAGTCAGCTGGTGGGTTGAAAAGACATGCAAACCTTCACAAGAATATACCTGATGACAACGGATAGATGTGTAACATATGTGCCAACATTATGCTAGAGATTTTTTAAAATATTGCCCTGTTTAAAGAGACTATGTTATGCTTTAAACACAATATTTTCAAGCTTACAATGATACCCTGTCGTGGTCATTCTCAACAACTAATCAGATTAGCTTTTAAGTTTCAATGTAAATTTTCATTGTAAATGTTATTTTGGACATTCTCGTAAATGTCGGAGGATATACAGGGAATAATAAAACGGTGTCCTTAAAACTCAAAGACTATAAACCTTAAAACTCAAAGACTATAATCCTTCGAACTCAAAGACTATAAACCTTAAAACACAAAGATTATAAACCTTAAAACCGAAAGACTATAATTCTTAAAACTGAAAGACTATAATTGTTAAAACACAAATCCTATAAACGTTAAAACTCAAAGACTATAATTCTTAAAACTCAAAGACTATAATTCTTAACACTCAAAGACTATAATTCTTAAAACTCAAAGACTATAATACACAAATACTTTGAATATTAAATGCAATTCTTCGAAATTCAAATCACGATAAACGGGATTCTTCTAAGGAGGTTCCTTGCCTTGAGTGCCTCTTGGGACTTAAACTAAAGTGAAACTCGTTCATATGATCTGTCGCTAAATATTCTGGAGAAAAAGCAATCGCCGGTTCTTTGTATCGCCTCAATAACTGACTCCAACTGCTAACCTCTATCAAAAGTTTCTCCGCGTCCTTGTGGGTGGCAATTTATTTCCCAATCTACGATTCCTTTCTCACAGACGAAATGTCGCAAGGCTCTATCCCTCTTCCTGTAGAAAGTGATCAGATGAACTACCTTCCTTAGGTCCACAAGTTCTCAACTCCATGGCTAAGACCCGTCATGCTATGCTCATTCAACTACTCTCCTTCTTTCCATAGTACATTTGTGAGATATTAGAGAACAGTTAAATTCATAGCCTACTATTATTTACAATATATAATACATAAATTATTCCCAAACTAAACCGATCTGGTTATGACGATAAACTACATCCGCGTCCTGGGTAAACGATAAATCGCATCTGACAACATCGGAAGGCTTTGAATAGTTATGGAACCACCTTTTAATTGCTGGTATTCCTACGTCCATCCTGACCCGGGGTGGTAGCACCTGTTAGGGTTCCAGCTATGGGCAAATAATTAACCTCCAACTGGTGCCAAAACACTATGAAAGTGAAAAAATAGGTTTCAATACTAGCAATATATTTTTGGAAAAAATATTACTAACAATGAATTTTTTAAGGAAAAAATGATTACCAGCAAAATATTATTACCAGCAAAATATTATTACCAGCAAAACAGTTTTGAAGAAGTAAAATATTACCAGAAATAATTTTTTTGGAAAAAAAAAATTACCAGGAATACATTTTTGAACAA